TTTTTTGGGGGGGGGGGGGGGTAGTCAACTGACCGGGATACCGTTGCCTCTCATAGGTAGTTATAGTATGAGTTTAACTTTTTCTCATTTGGTTGACATTCAATCGTCCTGATGTTTTTTTTTTAAATTCTAAATGTTGATTTCTTAGCTAGAGAATTGAAAAAAAATTTTAAAAATCCTTCATTAACTTAGTATTGTAGTGGCAAATGGCTGTGCTTCTTCAGTCTTATATCTTACGCCACCCTTACTGCAACCACGACCATCAGTGGATTTGATTTTTTTAACCTCTTTTCCTTGTTTTTTTTGTTTTGTTTTGTTTTTTTTCATCAAGTTGTGAAACAAAGAGCCCCTTTGATAAATTGATTGGTTTTTCTTCCTGGCTATGATGTTGAGCCTTGTGTTTTGTTTCTCTTGGAGAAGAGCCCAGTGATCAGATATATTATTTCTATAAACCCCTTTGATGTCTCTCGGGAGATCAGAGTCGGGGAAGGGCATCACGTTATTGTATAGACGTCCTAAGAAACCCGGTGCTCGATAATGAGAATTATTTTGCATTGGGGATATGACAGAATAGATCTTTTTTTTTTTTTTTTTTTTATTTGCTTTGAACTAACTAGAGCATCTATTTTTAATTTAAGTATACACAGTATACTTTCTGTACAGCACAATAAAAAATAAAATACTTTCTTTACAGCACAATGTGCTCGATAATGAGAATTATTTTGCATTGGGGATATGACAGAATAGATCTTTTTTTTTTTTTTTTATTTGCTTTGAACTAACTAGAGCATCTATGTTTAATTTAAGTATACACAGTATACTTTCTGTACAGCACAATAAAAAATAAAATACTTTCTGTACAGCACAATCAATATACATACACTTTCTGTGCAACGCAATATAAATATACTTTCTGTTCAGCACAATATACTTTATGTTCAGCACAATGTAAATATACGTTTTGTTCAGCACAATATACGTTTTGTTCAGCACAATATACGTTTTGTTCAGCACAATATACTTTCTGTTCAGCACAATGTAAATAAACGTTATGTTAAGCACTAGAGACCGACCGATAGTGATTTTCTGATTTCGGCCTAAGCCGAAAATAGGCCGAAAGTTTAAAATGACTCTCGGCCGAAACCGATAATAGGCCGAAAGTTTAAAAATCACTTTCGGCCGAAACAGAAAAAAGCCGAAAGTTAAAAATTGACTTTACCTAAACCGAAAATGAAATATTTAGATATTTTGAAATTCGTTCCCGCATACATTCTGCATACATCGAAAATGATGGGGGAAAGCATAAATAATCACATTCTTTTCATAAAAAATGAGATAATCGTGAATATTAATAAATAAGCATCTAATATAAGGGGTCTCAAACTCGTGGCCCGCGAGCCGTTTGTTCTTAAAAATCGTTTAGTTTATTCTTAAAAATCATTTAGTTTATTGTTAATGATCGGTTAGTTTGTTCTTAAAGATCTATGAGTTTATTCATAGAGATTGCTTAGTTTGTTCTAAAAGATCGCTTAGTTTAATCTTAAAGATCGCTTAATTTGTTCTTAAAGATCAATTAGTTTGTTGTTAAAGATCATTTAGTTTGTTCTTAAAGATCGCTTAGTTTGTTTTTAAAGATCGTTCAGTTTTTTTTAATTAATGAGCGCTTTATTTTTTCTTAAAGATCGGTTATTTTGTTCATAAAGATCGCCTGGTTTGTTGCTAAAGATCGTTTAGTTTGTTGTTAGTGGTCGGTAAGTTTGTTCATAAAGATCGCCTGTTGAAGATCGTTCAGTTTTTGTTAATGATCGCTTTGTTTGTTCTTAAAGATCAGTTAGTTTGTTCTTAAAGATCGCTTAGTTTATTGTTAAGATTGTTCAGTTTTTGTTAATGATAGCTTTATTTGTTCTTAAAGATTGGTTAGTCTGTTCATAGAGATTGCTTAGTTTGTTGTTAAAATCATTTATTTTGTTTTTTTAAGATCGCTTAGTTTGTTCTTAAAGTTCACTTTGTTTTTGTTTAAAGATATTTTAGTTTTTTCTTAAAGATCATTTAGTTTGTTCAAAAAAGATCGCTAAGTTTTTTTTATTAAAGATCGTTTAGTTTGTGTTATTAAAAGATCGCTTAGTTTTTTCTTAAAGAGCATAGATTTTGTTCTTAAATATCGCTTAGTTGTTCTTAAAGATCATTCAGTTTGTTCTAAAAGATCATGTAGTTTGTTTTTATAGAAATTTTAGTTTGTTATTAATAATCGTTTAGTTTGTTCTTAAAGATCACTTAAATTGTTGTTGAAGATCGCTTAGTTTTTTCATAAAGATCGCTTAGTTTTTTCTTAAAGTTAATTGATTTTATTCCTTAAGATCGATTAGTTTGTTCTTAAAGATCAATTGTTTTTTTCTTTAGGAACATTTATTTTGTTCTTAAAGACTTTTTGTTTGTTCCTAAAGAACATTTAGTTTTCTGTTAAAGATCGCTTAGTTTATTCTTATAAATCATTAAGTTTACGATTAAAGATCATTTGTTTTGTTCTTAAAGATTATTTAGTTTGTTCTTTAAGATCGTTTAGTTTGTTATTAAAGATCGCTTAGATTGTTCTTAAAGATCGCTTAGTTTGTTTTAAAGATCGTTTAGTTTGTTCTTAAATCTCGCTTAGTTTGTTGTTAAATATCGTTTGGTTTGTTCTCAAAGTTCGCTTAATTTGTTCTTAAATATCGTTTAGTTTGTTCTTAAATGTCGCTTAGTT